CCTGCTGAGTGTCCAGGACACATGCTTCACAGCTGTGCCAAGTTTGCAGCTGACCAATTGGCCTACATTGCAAGGAGACTCATTTTCAAAATTTACAATCGTTTTTTTAAAGCATGCCAGATAGGCTCATGCACTGTGAGGCTTCTTTGATTTTACTGAAGTTTAGAGCCCCATCCAGTTCCCAGTAAAGTCAACGGGTGTCTTCACAGCCACTAAAGAACTGTTTCACCATCTTACCTGCTCCAGCCATTGAGGGACTTCTACTGACCCCACCGGTTATGTATGGGATGGTAGGATTTATTCAGAGGTTTATAACGATCATGTGGTTTCTGAAGGAATTTACAAAAGCTATGATTACAGTGGAATTAGCAAAATCAAAATAACACATTTCCTAAAGTTAAACCTCTCAATCAAATGGCAATACACACTGTGACAAATGAATTTTCTGGTGGCAGAATGATCAGAACTATTCTTAATCTCTGTGTCCTGGATGTGGTTGATGTGTCTGGGTGCAGAAAAAAGAAAAAAAAAAAATCTGCAGGTATGTATTGAACCAAATATTGGCATTTTAGAACAAGCAGGATTTTTGCAATGGTAGAACCATACATACTGCAGCCATATACTATGGATTAGAGTTTAATGTCTGAAAGTATTCTAGACTGAATATTTCAGTTTTCAGACAGTATAAACAGACTTCTGAAACTCAGTGTCTGCAATGATGAAATCATAAGCTGGAAGACTCCAGATCCAGATGATATTTGAGTACATAGCCAACAACAGCATGCACTCAAGAAGAGCAAAATGAACAGGGGAAGTGGCGATCTTAGTTTATGTACAGAAAGCTCAAGAAACTTGAGTACTGAAGATGTACCCAAACTGCTTCTTGGGTAGATGAAAAAAGTAAAAGTGAACATTTGAGAGCTTTCCAACTGGTGTGACTACCACAGTAACATAGAAAAACATTAAACTCCATCAGGAAGGAGCCCTTCAGTACTCTAAAACAGTACTCAGAAACACTAGACAGCAAACTGGAAGGAAGAGATAAAAAAAGGAGGAGAAGGGGAAGAAGATGTTATTCTCATCTGCCCAAATGTGGACAGATGAGAATAGGATGGGGTTCAACTTAGACAAATGCAGGGTGCTGCACCTTGGGAGAAGGAATCCACAGCATACATACAGGCTGGGGAGTTCCCTTCTTGAAAGCACAGAGGCAGAAAGGGATCTTGGAGTCATTATTGACGCCACGATGAACATGAGCTGCC